TGCCTAGCCTTCTTTTTATTTTTGTATTTTGGGATAGGGTTTTGCTATGTTGCCAAGGGTGGCCTCCAGGCTGGCTTTGAATGGGTGATCCTCCTGTCTCAACTTTCCTAAATGCTGGGGTTTCAGGCATGTGCCAGTACACATACACCTTTATCCTTCCTCTTTAAACTAAGAATCTCCTTGAATGGAAGTTTTCAAGTTGCTGTTAGAACTTATCGTAAGGTTGCCAGACAAAATTCAGTTAAATTTGAATTTCAGATAAATAACAGGTAACATTTTACCTTACTTGCCCAAAGTATTACATGGTGCATTGTTCATCTGAAATTTAGACTAATTGGGTAGCCTGTATTTTCTTTGCTGAGTTTGTAAATCATAGCTTCTAGAGAATTAGTTTGTGTCAAGACCAACCGAATCTGGATTTCATGCATTTCAATTATTTCATATTTTGATGACTTAAGCAAAGTAATCCCGGGTAGAATAGCCAACTGGATGTGTTACTTTTTTTTTTTTTAAATTTTTTTCTTTTTAAAGAGAGAGTGAGAGAGTGAGAGAGGAGAGAGAGAGAGAATTTTTAATATTTATTTTTTAGTTCTCAGCGGACTCAACATCTTTGTTGGTATGTGGTGCTGAGGATTGAACCCAGGCTGCACGAATGCCAGGCAAGCGCGCTACCGCTTGAGCCACATCCCCAGCCCTGGATGTGTTACTTTTTATTGTTTTATTTTAAAGCAAGAATTCTTGATTCCTTCCTCTTCTTCCCACATTTTCCAATAAAAATAGCTCCTCCATACAATATAAGGCATTGATCATCTGCAAATCTGCATGTAGTGGGCCTCTCTTATCATTTGGTGGAGAAAAAGCTCATGAAGTTACTTCTTGTTGTTAAATAGCAAATGTTGACTTTGTGAATACCTGTTAAGGTTAAAAATTGTTGAGTTTTATGGTTCTGTGAACCAAGCTAGAAATACTGAAGTGCTACTTTATGTGAAGTGTATACTGTTGAGGAGGATGTAAGCGTTGGCTAAGACTTTTGCTCTCAGATATCCTGTTATTTAGTCAAGGAGTTGGATATGTAAATAATTATAACATAGTACAATGAACAATGATGATATTAGGTAAACAACTTGTTCTAAAAGTATTTGGATGAAAAATGGATTCAGAGTGGGGATTACAGCAACTCCCTGGAATAGATGAAAAGTTTCAGTAGCTGAAAAAGATCTGGATAGATGCAGAGACTACAAAATAAGTTGAGCAGAAGTCATGGAAAGGTTCATGTTTAAAAATTAGAGGCAATGCTTATAATCAAACAGCTTCTTTAATGTAGGAAGTAAGATTGTAAAGGTAGTGAATTAGTCTTCTGGGGCTGCTGTAATGAAGTACTATAAGATGTATGGGTTAAATAACAAACATTTATCACTTTAACAGTTCTGAAGGCTAGAATTTTGAAATCAGTGTGTTGGCTGATTTGATTCCTTCTAAGGGGTGCAAGTGCAGATTTCTTTACCTCTCCCCTAGTTTCTAGTTTAATCATCCCTTGGCCTGTAGGTGGTGTTCTCTCTATACCTCTACATCATTTTCCCTTCACTTGTGTTTGCCACTGTCCAAATTTCCCTTCTTATAAGGAAAGGTATAGTCAGATTGGATTAGGGCTTATCCTGTATCATCATAACTTGATCATCTGCAAAGACCCTATTTCCATAAAGGACATATTTGTAGCTATTAGGGGTTGGGACTTGAGCTCTTTTTAGGGAGACACAACTCAACCCACAATAGGTGGGGTGAGGGTTATATTCCAAAGAGTTAAAGCCATTGATTAGTACATTAACCTTGCCTTTTAGACAAATGGGGGACTCATCAAAGCTTTTTCTTTGTGCAGAGAAGTAACAGGAGCAAACAGATTTGAAAACTATTGTTACAATATAATAACAGTCAACACTATATACTTTGTGGTAGATGCTATGCTAAGTATTTTGTACATATTTTAGACTCTGAAATATGAATATTATAATTTCCTTTTTAAATATGAAAAAACTGAGGTTTAGAGATGAACAGAGTGGGTGAAAGGAAGAGGGAGAGATGCTAATCATTTGTTCCATTTAGACATGTTAAGCTTGAAGCGTTGGCTAAATATTCCTGTAGTGATGGTAAGTTGGTAGTTTGGAATTTGGTGGTTCTGAGCCAGGCATGGTGTGGTACATTGCTTGTGTACTTAGATACTTGGGAGTCTGAGGCTGGAGGATAATGAGTTCAAGCCCAGCCTGAGCACAACATAGCCCTGACTAAAAAAAAAAGAATCTGAGTTTGGGTGATGGGTTAAAATGGAGGATAAATTCTCAGTAGTAATCAGCATAGAGATGCTGTTTGAAATCATAAGAATGGGGCTCTCCTGAGGAGGTAGGCTATAGTAGAATAGAATGGAGTATATAAGATAAATATGTACATTTTAAGAATAATTTTAGAAAAAGCCCACTAAATAAATAAATAAATAAATAAATAAATGGGGGAAAAAAAATGAAAAAGCCCACTATCTATTATTCAAGTTAATAGAAATTACCAGCACTTTAGAATAACTGAGTGTTCCCCTCTCTTATATCCCATCTTTGCCCCCAGAGGTGTCATTATCCTGACTTATGTATTATTGTTTTAGTTTTATTTATAGTTACCATATATGAAGATATTCCTAAACAATACTTATTTTTGGAGAAAAAAATAAGATTCACCCAGCTGACTTAGGAAAGGGCAGTATTATTTTAAGCTTTCTAGGAGGGGACAGGTGGAATAGTCCAATAATAAATTCCCTGAGTTTCATGAGCTCCTCAGATAATCAGTGTCATTATCATGAGTTAGTTCTTGGGGGGCCTAAGGCACATCCTGGTCTGGTGTCCAGCAGTGCTAGAGTATGAACTGGTAGAGCAAAGAGAATGTGGTTCTCAGGCTGGGGATGTATCTCAATTGGTAGAGTGCTTGTCTCCCATGCACAAGG